AGCTCGCGGGTTCACGAGGAACCCACAAGCTGGGTTCACGACGAACCCACGAGCCTGGGTTCGCCATCGTGAACCCACGAGCTTGGGTTTCGCCATCGTGAACCCACAAGCTGGGTTCATGACGAACCCACAAGCCTGGGTTCACCATCGTGAACCCACGAGCCTGGGTTCGCCATCGTGAACCCATGAGCTGGGTTCATCGCAAACCCAAGCTCCTACTGCTTAAGGAATCGATTGAAGAGATCGAAGGGGATTTGCAGTTGCAGATCTCCTACTGCTTGCTCCAAGTTTTGTTGGTACTTCTCTCTCGAATTCAGCTTTTGCCTGAACTTCTCTCATTTGCATGCTTATTCTTTCTATATTCATAAATTACTTGTGAAATTTGTGAAATTAGGAGTTGAATGAGCGATTTTTATTTGATTTCAGCTATATTTTGAGCTTAGTTATGTTTCATATGTTACTTGTGAAATTTGAGATCGAAATCGATCTAGAAACAAAAGGATTTGAATGTTTCAATGAGAAAAACTTGATGAAGCTCTTTCATATGCAATAGTTCATGTTCTGTGAAAATACTAACAGTAAGCTGAGTAGCGATAAGATGTTTTTAGAAAAATTTTTTGGTTTCCTGGACACTGTCCTGTTTGGATCTTGATTTTACACTTTTGTTGCTTTTCAATAATAATATGAAATAATAGTCTGTACTCTCCCAAGTCCGATCTCAACAATCAATTCAAAATTAAAATCATTAGTTCGTGGGTTTGTTGTGAACCCAGGCTTATGGGTTCGCGATGAACCCACGAGCTGGGTTCATCGCGACGAACCCAGGCTCCTAGGTTCGCCTGAAGGTAAGAAAAAAAAAGAAAAAAAAGGCTGAAGAAAGGAGAGGATGGAGGAAGAAGATGAGGGTAAATTGGTAATTAAAGACAAAAAATTTGGCCATGTCATCGAGTTTTGTCGGATGGATTTTCCACGTAATTAAAGTAAAGAAAAAAATAAAATTTTCCGGTAATTAACCTGCCACATCAGCTAAAATTTAACGGAAGGACTAAAAATGGGCCGGATTTGTGAACAGTAAGGACTAAAAAAGGGATTTTTTCGGTACAGGGACTAAAAAATGGCTTTTTCCTATAGTAGGGGGACCAAAAAGGGTATTTAACCTTCCACTAATGATTGTGTGATTTTTCGGAATGTTTTACAAGATAAAATCGACAAGGGAATTCTGCGTTTTCCAGATAAGGCCAAAGAAACTATGGGAGTTGATGCAGATCCATTCCCTACCATGTCTGTTGGGGTGAACGCGGCAGATCTCAGGAGCATTGCCAGAGACAGAACTCAAATATGCTATAGGCGCAGACTTGCAGCTGATGATCTGAGGTGGGTCATTGAGGAGGCCAGGGCCCGCAGAAACCAGGTCAGATCAGGCTCATACCGAAAGAGACAGCCCGGGGGGCACAACTCAACTCAACAGAAAAATAATGCAAATCAGGGAACTGCGATATCTGGACACGCAGAACAGCCCAGAATGGTGAAACCACCACCTAGATCTCCAACCAAACGGTGGGAACGTGTGGTGCATCCAAAATTTCCTAAAGGTCAGAATCCAAGGACCTTGAAGAGGCGTTTACAACGCAAAAAGGTCGCAGAAAGACACCGACAGCAGATTACAGACTCGGGGGGCATGGCAGATCAGGCACAGCCACTCCCAGCAAGAAGAAAATCAGTGTGGGTTCGTAAGGAAAAAGGGAGCTCATCTGGCCAGAATTCTCCAGAAAAGGAAGAACCACCCAGAATTCCAACATCACCTCGAATTCTGGCTATGGAATCCAATGAAGAAACTGGTTTGAAGGCGAAGTTTGACGTGTCAGATAAAGCGGAAAAGTCATCAGATGTAATTTGTTTTGGTGAGTTTTCCGTGAATTTATCTTGTTTGGTGATCACTCTTCCTTTAGTCTTTCAAGCAAGAGAGCAGCCAGAATCTGCAGTCTGTCACCAGACAGATTTGACTGAGGAAGAAGAAGTCATTGAAATCCCAGCCAAGGAAGATGGTGATATGGATTCAACAGATAAAATCATCTTCGAAAAACCAGAAGAGAGAATGGCCAAGCACATAAGGCCATTATACATTCATGCACATCTGGACAGTATGCCAATAAATCGAGTTCTGGTGGATAATGGAGCAGCTGTCAATGTTTTGCCAACTTGTATTCTGCACAAGATTGGCAAATCTTTGGGTGATTTAATGGAGACAGAAGTGACAACCAGTGACTTTACTGGTGGAGTAAATCGCTCGAGGGGAATTCTGTCAGTAGAACTTACTGTGGGAAATAGAACTCTCATGTGTGCATTCTTTGTGGTTGACACCATTGCCACTTATAATGCATTGCTTGGGAGAGATTGGATACATTCCAGCTGGTGCGTTCCTTCAACTTTACATCAGAAATTAATATTCTGGAATGGTGGCAGAACTGAAGTTGTGACAGCAGATGACAAGCCATTTATGGCAAGTACCAATGTAGTGGAAGCTCGTTATTATGATGAAGATATTGGGACTATCCGTTTTTTTGGGATGGACCGCTATGGCAGACATTCTGGAATTACTGCCTGCACCAGATCTGCAGTGGACAGACAAACTGTGAAAGAGGTGTGTGATGAACTGCTTCGGCCTACAACAATCATTCCTTTTAGGTCGAGGGAGGAACCTGAAATTGAAGAAATTCCATGAAGCAAGATCGAATTAAGCACCAGAAAAAGGAGGCCGTGGAAGAAATCAAGAGAAAATTAGCGACCTACCTTGCTGAAAAATGGATCTGTGTAGACAGATCTGAAGTAGTCTATGAAGGCGAAGAGGATGATTTGAAGGATCGGATAACACTAGAGGAATTAGATCTGGCACTAGCAAAGCTTGATGATCTGAAAGCAGAAGTACAAGATCCCCTGGATGAGGTAAATTTGGGTACTGAGGCAGATCCGAAAATTACTTTTATTAGCGGTTCTCGAGCCGTGTTTGCATGATAAAATTATTATTATTTTGCATGAGTACAAGGATTGTTTTGCTTGGGACTATTCTAAAATGCTAGGTCTAGACAGAAATCTGGTAGAGCACAGATTACCAATTAGACCAGATTTCAAGCCTTTTAAACAGCCGCCTAGACGAATGTCTCCAGAAGTCACTTTAAAAGTTAAAGAAGAGATAGAGCGGCTTTTGAAGGTTGGTTTCATCAGGACTTCCAGATATGTGGAATGGTTATCTAATGTGGTTCCTGTGGTTTAAAAGAATGGTTATATCCCCGATTCAGTCCCTCAACTTTCATTTTTGAACTAAAACTACCCTCGAACTTCAAAAAGTACTAAAAAAATCCTTGAACTTCAATTTTTGGGACCAATTTTGTCCTTCCGTCGACGGAAATGACAGATGGCACGTTAAGTTGCCACAAAATCAATTCTTGTTTGAAATCTTTAATTACGTGGAAAATAACTAATCCACGTCATCCTTCATTACTCCGATCATCCCGCATTACTCCGGTCATCTCTCCGATCATCCCTCCCGTCATCCCTCCGGTCATCCCTCATTGCTCCGATCATCTATTACCACTCCAATCACCATCTACTTCTTCCCCAAACCTCCTCCCTAATAGAATTCAATAAATCTGATTCAAAAAATCAATTCCTCTACAAATGTATATCAGATCTGCAAAGAAAAATG